GCGCCATCTTCTACTGCTTTCCCAGGCCATAGCAGAGAGCTGGATGGGAAGAGGAGAAGCCAAAACTAGAACTGGCACCCATATGGGATGCCAGTGCCTCAGGCAGAGAATTAAACTACTGCACCACGGTGCCGGCCCTCAAGAAATGAAGGTAATTTTCAAAAACCAAACAGAAATCTTTAAGCTAAAATTATACTAACCAAAATTTAGAATATGATAGAATGTATCAATGGGAAACTATATCAAACAGAAGCAGCAGTAAACGCAAATACAGGCTATTTGAAAATGAACATATGGAGGAGCAAAAAATAAAAAAAAATCCAACAAGTATGAAAAGGCGTACGTGTATTTTAGGCTTCTTTGAAAGGTACACACATCTGGTGTATCTCTTCAGTGCAGTGGTTAAGACACTGGCGAGGATACTCACATTTCATATTGCAGTGCCTGGGTTTGAGCACTAGCTCTGCTTCTGAATCCAATTTCCTGATAATGTACACCCTGGGAGGTGTCAGATGATAGCTGAAGTATTTGGGCCCTTGTCACCTATGTGAGGTACCTGGATTGAGCTCTGGGCTCCTGGCTTTCACTTGTCTCAGCTCCAGCTGTGTGGGCATCTGCAGAGTGGACCAGTTGATAAAAGATCTCTCTACCTTCAAACAATAAAAACAAACAAACATATCTACATTATTGTGGGTCAAGAGGAACTGAGAATATTAAATTGGTAGTCAGTACACACAACTAGATAATACAGAACCATCCTGAAGTCTGCAGAAAGGTACAGTGATCCAAGTGACAGGAAGGCATGGGGTCACCAATTAGATTTGATTCAACCAAGTCCATCCCGGGATGTATTAAAATCAAATTTGTCTCCAGGGAAAAGATGAGTCTCAACATTGCAAGAGAAAGGAAGTGAATGACACACCAGACTGTCCCAGTTCACTCCTAGAGTGATAGGGCAGGATTTACAGATGGCACGAAAAGGGATGTGATTCTCACAATGTTCTTGGAGAACCTGCTGACCAGGGATATTGGATCTAGCAAAGTTATCATTCTGTTATGGAGGACAGATAATGTTATTCTCTGAAAAACAAGAGGTGAGAGAGGTTATTGTCTTATAGATCTGTCCTACAAGAAAGGAAGTTTTTTAAACTGGAAGAAAGAGATGCTAATGAGTAAGAAAAAATATTAGAATGTGGAAAACTCACTGGTACAAGTCACTAAATACACAAATTCAGAATGCTCCCATATTGTAAACAAGGACATCCAAAATCCATGTTTAGTATGAAGAATAGCAAGCAAAAGAATTAAGAATAATAATTCCACTAAAAATAATAGATAATATAGATTTAAAACTAGACATCAAAAATTCAAAATGTAGGAAGGAAAGGAGTGTAATTTTAGTGTTCTTTATTAGTATGTATCTCTCTTTTTTTAAAAGATTTTATTTATTTGAGAGGTAGAGTAAAAGACAGTGAGAGGAAGAGACAGAGGGAAAGGTCTTCTGTTCGTTGGTTCACTCCCCAGTGGCTGCACTGCAGAGCTGCGCGGATCTGAAGGCAGGAACCAGGTGCTTCCTGCCGGTCTCCCATGTGGGTACAGAGGCCCAAGGATTTGGGCCATCTTCTACTGCTTTCCCAGACCACAGCAGAGAGCTGGATTGGAAGAGGAGCACCGGGACCAGAACTGGTACCAATATGGGATGCTGGCACCCCAAGCAGAGGATTAACCTAACATGCCATGGACCAAGCCCCTTGTTTTTTCCTTATGCCAAGATGTCTACATGTCAAACAAGCTTTTGATAAGCCAAAAATGTTTTAGTAAGACTCATGGTAAACACAAAGCAAAACTCTATAATATAATAACCAAAGCCAATAAGTGGAAAATTAAAATACACAACTAGGTAAGATCATTTAGCCACAAAAAAGATTATAGAGAAGAAAAATGGTTCAAGTCCTTGGGCCCCTGCACCCACATGGGAGACCTGGAAGAAACTCCTGGTTCCTGGCTTCAGATAGGTGCAGCTGAGCCAACTGGGGAGTGAACCAGCAAATGGAAGACCTCTCTCTCTGCCTCTCCTCTCTCTGTGTAACTCTGAATTTCAAATAAATAAATATTTTTTTAAAAAAACCTTTCAAATTTGAACAAGTGGTATTAAGGCCCATGAGCAGTTTGTTTTGGTGAAGACTACAAGTGCTCACTAGAAAAAAAAATATGTATACAGTGTAACAGTGTAGTGATATATATATATATATATATAGTAATAGAAAGGCTCTACAGCTCCACTAATTAATGTTTTTATATATGTACATATATATGATTTGTTTATTTGAGAGTAAGAGTTACATAAAGAGAGCAGTAGAGAGAGAGAAAGAGAGAGAGAGAGAGAATCGTCCATCTGGTTCATTCTCCAACTCTCCCGGATGCACAGCGTTGTGGGCCAGACAGCATCCACTCCCGAGTCTTGGCTCCTGCCCCTGAGCAGGGCCCCCAGGTGTGAGAGGTGTTTCCTGCTGGCTCAGTAACTCTCTGTCCCCTGATAGCTGTGGAAGAGGAGGTCTGGGGATGAGCATTTATCACCCTCGGTCTCTTTCTGGACTAAACAGGCCATCAACTCCACACCGAATGTGTGAGAATCCCATGGTTTTCAACTTATTGGTATTTATTTGCATTCTATTGTTTGCTAGCAAGTCTGCAGGGCAGGGAGACTAAAGAGAAACTGCCCACGCCCGTGACCTTCAGGTGATGAGGCGAACAAGGCTGCCATGAGGACTGGGAAGAAACTGACAGGCAGGACAACGCCATGGCCGCATGGCTTTAAGGGGTGCAGGGAGGCCTCCTGCCCCCGTGTCTGGGGAGAAGTTTCTCCAGGGGTTGGTGAGTGCTGCGTCAAGGTAGGGCAGGACAGCAGAGGGGGACACCTGCATGGGTTCCTGGGCACAGGAGGGGCTCCTTACAACGAGGAAGTGGAACAGAGAGTGCTGTGGTGCATGTGCGGGGGATGGGGACGCTGGACTCTGTGGTACCGGGCAGGCTGCAGATGAGACTTGGGTTGTCACTGCCCTGACCATGATGGGGTGAGCAGGGAGAGGCTGTCCTGGGGCCTGAGGCAGGGCAGGGAGGGGCTGGAGACAGGTGCATCTTTTGTTCCTCATCCACCTCCAGTGTCCTGACAGAGGAGGAGATGGCCAACAGGTGGGATCGTCACCTGACAGTAGGGGACAGAAGCCACGTTGCAGAGGTGAGTTCATCCCTCCCCCCGGGCGTCCTCCATGCTGGGCCAGGTTGGCAGGGGCTGTGCAGCCAGCTGCCTTGTCACCCAGAGCAGGATTCATCCCGGGTGCCTCCTGAACCCATCAGCCTGGGGCCATCGTCTCAGCCTCACCAGTGAGTACTGTACTGAGGGCAACAGGAGTTCTTGAAGGAGTGCAGATTCCCGCCTTGCCATGGGGCTGTGCCCGCTGCAAGCCCACCTGACTGCACCAAAGCAGCCCAGCAAGGCGGGGTGGGAAAATGGGGGGACACTTGGTGCCATCTCAGTGTAGCCTGCATGCCATGAGGTGACAGTGACAAGGACCGGGTGCTTCAGGCATGGAGCTTCTAGTCCCGGGGGAGGCCTGGAGCACACCCACCTTGGGCACACACGTGTGATGCGCACAGAGAAATACATGCGCACGCCACAGTAGAAGACAGCTCCCCCTCCCCGGAGTAAGCAGCGAGGAAGCAGCAGGAAGGCAGCCAAAGCTGGAAGCCTTGAGGCTGGGCCAACCCTGCTGGGGTCCCTGGGCTCTGCAGAGCCCGTGCTGACCACGAGCAGCCCAGGGGCTGGAAGGGCTGAGCTGCTGCTGGCAGTGACCCCTGCATCCCTCAGGGGTGGGTGTCCCGGTGATCAGCACCCCGGGGAGCTGTGGGCCTGTGGCTGCTCCTGCCCGATGCATGCTGTCCCTGTCCTTATGGTCAGCAGCAGCCCGGTGTTACCAGCGTGCGGCTCAGGAGCTGGTGCCAAGGAGTTCTCAGTGCTCTGTGCCTGAAGCCCTCCCTGGCCAGTGTCAGGACAGGGCCCTGGCTCCCGCTCTGGACAGTCTGGGCCATGCCGGCTTGAGGTCCTATGCAGGTGGTGCTCAGCGGGCGGCTCCCCTCACCCCATCCCAGGAGGACCCCCTGTGTCCACCTCCTAAAACTCCTGGGAAGAAGGGCTGGAACAGAGCAGGAGGGGTCAGCAGGGGTTGGCAGGGCTGGGGTGGGGCCTGTGGTAGGACAGGAGGCTGCAGCCCTGGGAGTCTCCGTTCAGGTCATTGCAGGGGCAGCCCCGAGTGTGGGGACCTCAGGAAGAAGGACAGGCCATGATGGGGCTCCCTGTGCCACCTTGTGTTCACTGAAAAAGGCTTTCACAGTGGTGCTGTAATAAAATTGCAGAGGAATAAAGGAGGGGCAGGAGGTGCAGGTTGCCTGGGACTTGGGACCGTTACGGCAGGTGGCAGAGGGCCCTGGCACCCCTGGTTCTGGGGAAGTTCTGCCAGAGCCCTGCCCTCTTCACCTGGGGCCTGGGGAGAACACAGGCCCCATTTTTGGTGACTTTTGATGAAGCCAGGGCTGAGAACCCTGCCCCTGCCAGAGTTGTGTGTCACTTGGAATTGGCTGGCAGGATTCTGTGACATCACAGTCACTGAGAACTGTGCACTCTGGGTTGTCGGCAACCAGTGGTCAGTAGTGCTTCTACTGCCCAACTGACCAGGTGTGGGTAGCGTAGGCAGGAGGCACTTTTAACAGAATCCAATGGATTCGCGATGGAGGTGAGTGGGACTTGCTCTCTGCATGAGCTGTGACATGGGGAAGGTCACGCCAGATGGGTGGCACTGGTCTCCCACGCCAGGTTCCATGAGTGATGTGGCTGAGCTCTCAGTGGGCCCCTGTGTGCAGTGTGTATACAGTCGTCTCATTCCTCCCGCTCTGCTGGGCACTAGTGGTGAATGTGCATTGGTGTGAGTCTACGTCTGGACACGGGTTCAAGACTAGGTGTTGGATCAGCTGGTATCAGGTGGGGCTGCGAGGCCGGCTCTGAGAGCCCCAGAGATGCGGGGGCTGGGAGAGGGCCAGGGAGACCCTTGGACTTGGGCTCCCTGGAGGACACGTGGATGCCAGGCTGGGAGAGGAGCATCCTTTCCCAGGGCAGGGGAGGCAAGGTGGGGGCTGTCCTTCCCCAACCATCCCTAGTCCCTGTGCTCTGGACAAGTCATCCTCCTGGGACCCGACCACCAGGTGCCCGCCCACATGGCTGTGTGGCTGTCCCCCCTCTGACCAGGGGAACAGCCCTCAGGGCAGCAGTTCCCGTGGGCTCCCTGTGCTGGCTCACATGTGCGTGTGTGTCTTACAGATTGGATATGGACGCCCTGAGGTCCGGCAGGGCCCAGGAGCGAGCAGGGATCATCTTGAAATATGAGCAGGTATGGGCCAGGGTGCTGGGAGAGGAGGTAGGACCCTGCCTCAAGTACTGTGCCTGTGAGAGCCAGACCCCACCTCCCTGGGGACACAGTGGGGAGGGTGGCTCAGCTTCCCTCAGTGACTGAGACCCGGACTTCTCACCTGGGTCCCCTCTCCCCTGCAGGGTCCCCGTAAAGGGCCCCAGTTTCACCTGGGAGAAGAGGACGAGAGTGGAGCCCTCATCCCAGACAAACTTGGATTCCTGCAGTGAGTTGTCCACAGCCCAGCTCCACCCAGGGGAGGGACCAGGGTCAGAAACCCCACCATTAGGTAGCACACCTGTCCCCAGGCCCCCTCCTTGATCCAAGCTGTTGTCACAGTGCAGGCACAGGTCAGCGTGTGGCCAGAGCTGATGACCCAGTGAGTGAATCCAAACTGCAGGCAGGGACAGAACTGGACATGGGGCAAGCACGGGGCACACTGCCTCTGAGGCCTCTGTTCATGCTAAGTAGAGGGGGTGGCTTGAGGGTCTTGCCCTGCTCCTAGGGGACACAACCGGGCCATCAGCATTCCAGAGCTGTGGCCACAGGGTTGGGGCACCAGCCTAGAAGGTGGCAGTTGTCCAGGAGGTACCTGGGTCTCAGGGGCCAAGCTAAAGGCTTAAAGGCCTGGCCTGAGGGACGGCCAGGGGTGGGACCTCAAGGCTCCAAACCTGCCTGCAGGCTTCCCCAGTACAGACCAGGGCAGAGGGGTTTGCAGCGGAGGGCACTGTGCTGGGAGGAGTGGGACCAGAGGGCAGGAGACAGACTTGGAGGCTGTTCCCACAGATGTCAGGGAGAGAGGCCCCGTGGCTGGAGCATGGGCTCCGGTGACCTAGAGGGATGGAGCCGTCTCGGCCACCTTAGCTCGGGGATGGGGTTTCTGGCTCCATGTTGTGCCAGAACCTGGAGAAAAAGCAGGAGCCGAGTGGTGGAGAGATGCCCACGGTCCGGGCTGAGGAGGGTGAGGTGGGGAGCAGGCACCTCAGGGGGCCAGTACATGGTGGGGAGGGAGGGTGGGGGGTACCCAGGGGAGTGTGGTGGTCCCAGGTGCTTCGAGTCCCAGCTGCACACTCACAGCACTGGCAGCAAGGGCTCCTACCCGGCCCTGGGCTCCCTGGGCTCACAGTCACAGCCCCTGCTGGGTGTCTGCCTGCAGCATGGCTGCCCCCTCCCTGCCCTTCTCTGTGCCCTGGGCTGCACCTCAGCAGGGTGAGGAGGACACAGGTCCTGTCCCAGCCTTGCTGGGAAGTGGACCATGCGTGGTTCAGTGCCCATTCTCATGGTGGTGTCTCTCTTGCCTTTCAGTAAGCAGAAGCCGCCCAGGCATGGATGCCTGGCAGTGCAATGGGTAAGCTGACCTTGGCCATGGACTCTTCATCTAGGAGGCAGAACTAGCAGGCCTGTGGGTATAGGCAGTGGTAGGCGGAGTGCCATATGGTCCTCCAGGGACAGCAGTCCCCAGGAGATCTGTTGAGGCCCACCTGCCCCAGAGCAGGCCTGCAGCTCTGGGGTCCCTGCCTGTGGGCCACTGTGACCCACTTTCCTGGATGCGATGGGACTGGCTTGAGGATGGCTTATCCTGTGGGCAGAGCCCAAGCCCCTGAGGCTCCCCTACTTGGAAGGTCTGGGTGCCGTGGTCTGCCCCTTTGCTGGCTCCTCCCAGCTGAGTTGTCCACAGGCTCCTGAGCTGCACCCGTGGCCTCTCTCAGAGGACACTGCTCGGCTCACGCCAACCTGTCTCCATTCACAGCGTAAACATCAGGAGGGCCGCCGACTGCAAAAATGGAACAAGATGCTGCGAAATTTCACCAAGTACCGCAGCAGCGAGAAGGTGCCTGGACCTGAGAGCCCCTGGGGACCACTGGGGGCGGAGTTGCGATAGACAGTGCCCATCGCTGTGCCTCTCAGACACAACTGTCCTGCCCTGAAAGGACACAGGTCATCTCAGCCCCATGCCCGTGCAACCAGGACACTGTCGCAGTAGAAGATCCAAAGTCTCCCCCGGGGCCACTCCCAGATGCAGGGCAGGCACAGTTCCTGGTGCCCTGTGGGGGCAGTGAGTGCACGACAGAGCCTGCACTGAGCCCTCGGCCCTCCTCTCACTGTTGGGTCAGGAGGCCCAGGTCCAGGCAGATCTGGGGACACGGCACAGAGCCCAGGGCTCCCCTTCCTGCTGTCTCACCCTGCGCTCCCCCCCACAGAGGGCCTGGGGCGGGTCTCACCAGAGCCTCCTCTCTCCTGTAGTTCCACCTGAGAATTGAGAAAGGCATCCCCGCCCAGGTGCGCGGCAAGATGTGGGCCATGATGCTCTCTGTGGATAACAGGAGGGCCCAGAACCCTGGCAAATTCGAGGTATGGCTCTGCGTGCAACCTGAGGCAGCCCGACCCACTCGGGCCTGGTCAGGAGCCCGAGGCTCCCGCGTGGTGGACAAGTAATGCCAAGGAGGAGTGGTCATTTGCTTGGGGCCCCCACCCGGCCCTCCCCTCTGCCTCATCCACGTCTCCCCAGAGGCCTCCTCCATGTCTCCCCCACACAAATGGGCCTGGACACAAGGATCCCGTCAGGGCCACAGCCCTCATCCCTGTGGTCCTGCCTTTGCTCTAGGCCCAGGACTGCCCAGTGCCATTGTGCTGGGTCCTGAATGGATAGAGACGGCCTGGAATGAGGTGGAAGTCCTGTGTGCTAGGGCCCTCAGCTGGCTCTGTTCTAAATGGCCCTCCCCACACCTGACCCTGCTTGTGCGTTTCTTATGCTCGCCGGCGCCTGCTCTCACCTGGGCCTTCTCATGCCTGGCCTGGCCTCAGCTCACCCAGCCCCGACCTGGCCTGCTGGTTCCATCGGTGAGAGTCAGCTCTCAACCGCTTCTGGGAATGCGGGCTGATCCATCAGAGGGCGGGCCCGGGGCTGACTGTCATCTCCCTGGCTGACATCAGGGAGCAAGGAGCAACTGAGCTGCCAGTCCTGCCCTCCCCCAAGTCTTCAAGTGGGGGCTGCCTCTGGGGCCAGCTCCAAGTCCAAGAATGGTGTCCACTCTCTTGATGGAGCTGGGGCTCTCCTGCAGGGGGCAGCCCTGAAGGCTGGTCAGGGTGAGGCTGACTCCTGTCCTGTGGGGCCTGAGAGCCCAGTGAGGAGGCTCGGAGGCCTGATTGGGTCTCTGCTGCTCTGGGAAGGCAGAGGTAGCACAGGACATTGGCAGAGCCCCTGGCCTCAGGCTGACTGTAGTGGGTCCGCAGTGGCCCCCTCTGCTGGACACTGGGGGTGGCGTGGGCCCTAAGGTGAGTGGGGAACCCATGACCCTCCCTGGATCAGGGGAATGAGCTGCCCCCAGAAAAACTCTCCCTGCCAACCAGAAGGGCTGCTGTGGCTTTGGGGTGCTTGTGTGGCAGTGGGGGTTGGCTCGTCCTGAGGCCGGCCCCTCCCCCTCGGCCCTGCCCTGCAGGAGATGAAGGAACGGGCCAGGTTGTGCTCAGATCAAGTCCAACAGATCGATGAAGAGGTAGCACGCACGTTCAGAAGTCACATCATGTTTCGAGAGCGATACGGAGCCAAGTGAGGCCTCTGGGCTCGAGGGGCCCGGGGGAGGGAGGTGCAAGGGTCCTGGGACACATGGGGTCCTAGGAGAGACGTGGGCTCACACCTAAAGCATAATTCCTCTAGGACAGAAAAAAATGGATCCATGGCCTTCTATTTATACTGAACAGTTCGCTTTCCCAAAGACACTTTGGTGGGAATGAAATGAAAAGGAACACAAGGGGAGACAGTATTTACAAAATACAGAAAATGAAGTTATAAATCTCAATAATAAGAAAGCAAATGAGGGTTCCCTGCCCTGACATGGGCCAAGGCTCAGGAGGGCCCGTTCGTGACTGCACACACAACTCTCCTACTCAACGCGTGAACGTACGCTTAGCACCTAAACCACAACGGGGCACCAGCGCACAGCTGTGAGAATGGGGGAACTTAGACCACCGAGGACGCCGGGTGCTGGGGAGAACGTGAGGCGAGCCCCACTCTGGTTCACTGCAGGAACAGAGCACAGTGCCCAGGCCCCCGGCAGCACCCAGGGCCATTTCTCACAATGAGAGACACACACCTTCCACATGAACCCCCAGCACACACGCACATTTACACAACTACTAGAACAGCTGAGTGCATAAAACCCTCACACAAGATTCAGGGTTATGTTCACAGTCACTGGACGCAGGCGTAGCCTGCACGATGCTCAGTGGGGAATGGATAAGCAACCCGTGTCACAGCTGAATCCTAGAACGGGATTCAGTGAGAGGCTGGACGAGGCTCAGCCCTGGGCTCACCTGGATGCATCTCAGGTGCATCCTGCTAAGAGAGGACGCGTCCCTCAAAGGCTACACGTGCTGTGATCCACTCACAGGACGTCTGCAAGAGGCCAAACTCTGGGACACACAACAGGGCAGTGGTGGCCACGGGCTGGGGGAGGTGGGGAGTTTGGCCACAGGGGCTCATGGGGAACACATAGGCCACAGGAGCTGCTCCCTACCAGGCTGAACGTGCATGGGAGGCTGACTCTCCATGGCTTAGACCCACGGGACTGCACCTCCCACAGTGGGACGCTCACCTGTGCAACGAACACCCACCTGGGGAAACGAAACTGCACGTGACTGCACCCTGTGAAGTGTGTGTGTCCCTGCAGGCAGCGCTCACCCACACGGTGGACCACACGCAGGTGCCCTGGCGACGTCACTGCTCATGAGCAGAGTGTCACGGGCCCTGCGTGTGGCTGTCAGGCTCTGTTAGGCAGAGCCACACGGAGAGCCTCGGTAGCACAGGACGCACAGCCTCTGTCCTCTCTCTTCCAGACAACGCTCCTTATTTGAGGTGCTCCTCGCATACTCAATGTACAACCCCGTGAGTATTCTACGATAACATTCCAAGGTCATATCCAGAGCTGTCCATGCAGGGCGCCCCTGGTCACAGAGATCCTAGCCTGGGTTGAGGGGGCCTCTCTAATCCACAAGGCAGAGACTGAGGGGTAGACTTCAAACTCATGGCCTCCTTGGCCCCAACCTCAAGTTCTGGGGCAGAACGGAAGCCTTCTCCTGGGCTGGGCTCTGTTCTGGCCCAGGGAGGCCTTACTATGGTGCTTCTTCCTCACGTCTGCAGTGGGGCCCAGCAGGGCACCTGTGCAGCAGAGAGCTCCAGAGGCCGTCACGGGTGTGCAGTCTGCACTCCCACAACAGTCTTCCCCTTCCTGACATCTGGGGTGGGGCTCATACCTCTTCTTAACCCTGCGCAGCCTGTGCTCAGACCCTGCAGGATTCTCTGCAGGATCTTTGAGAGCCGGCGTGTGCTCCAGTCCCTGAGATCCTGACACCCAAGGGGCAGCAGTGGGGCCTGGTGGTAATGCTCAGCCCTCCCAGGAGAGGTCACCCTTGCCACTTGAGATCATCCCAGCCAGGGAGGTCCCTCTGATGTGTTTTGTGTTCTTCCAGGAACTGGGCTACAGCCAGGGCCTCAGCCATGTGGCAGCCCTGCTGCTGATGTGGCTGAGTGAAGAGGATGCTTTCTGGGCCCTAGTCCAGCTCATGGAGGACAGCCAGCACGCGATGCATGGTGGGTGATGGGTGTGGTGGGCATGGTCCTGCAAGTGCAGGGATGGGCATGCAGACAAGTGACTGGGACATTGTCCCTCACTGGCTGCTGCGTGCATAGGGGAGTCTCCCTCGGGATGGTTCCTTAGGAGCCAGGGCCGGCAGAGGGCCCAATACCAAGCCATACCCCTCACTTCCCATCACACAAAGGTCCTGTGCCTTGTCTTTGGCAAATGACCCTTAGGTCCCTACTGGTGTGACTGCTTCACATCTCTAGTCAGACTCCCACCCACTGCGCCACACCCTTGCAGAAGGAGCATCCATTCTAGGGTGGCCCCTCCTCACCCTGAGTGTCCAGATGGCCCTGAGGCACCCAGTGTGAGTGCAACCTGCCCTGGGCTGTCAGCTGTACCCCCCTTCCCCTGATGCTCCCCTGCCTGTTAGAGCCTCCCCTGACCCTCCGTGCTCAGCAAGACCCCGCCCCAAGCCTTTGGCTTTCCAGCCTTCCTGGGAAGACACTCTGAATGAGGGCTGGGGGGTTGCTATTACTCAGATTTCTACACACCAGACTCCCCAAAACTGGAGCGATTCCAGCACCACCTGGGAGACATCATGCATCGCGTGCTGCCCTCCCTGGAGAAACACCTGGTAAGTAAACATCTCCTTTCTCCCCTCGGGGGCTCTGTGCTCAGGGAGGGGAGGACAGAGAGGGGTCCTGACTGCTTCCTGGGCCAGGGGAGGCTACGTCCTCACCAAGGCTTTTCTTGGTTACTGGGGGCCGCGGCAGCTTGGGTGCTGGTTTGATTTCCAGCACTTGGTCCCCCAGAGTTTGTGTAGATTGCAGGGAGATGCTGTCCCCAGGGCAGAGTGGACTGAGGGACCTGTGTCCCTTCAGGAATCTGCATGGCTGGGAGAGGGGATGCACCTGCTCTTGGGCTTCCTGCACCCAGGGGCTCTGCCACAGGGCTCAGATTAGAGCGAGTCAGGCCTGGGCCCTGGGCCCTGATCCCCCTCTGCCTCTTCTTAGGAGGAGGAGGGTGCGTACCTTGAGGACTACACCGCACACTGGTACATCCAGTGCTTCCTGGATGGGGTAAGTGCCCCGGGGACCCCTTGCCCAGGGAAGCTCCTGCCCCAGTGCCTGGCTCTCCTGTCGTGGTGGCCTCTGACTCTGAGCTCCCCCAGCCCCAGCAGACACAGGAGGGAGTCTGCTGTACAGACCAGGCAGGCCCTGTCCTGCTGAGGGTGGTCCAAGCTGAGGCTGAGCCTCAGGGCCAGCAAGGAGGGGACAGGTCCCACAAGGACCCATCCTGAGAGCCTGCCCTACAGTGAGAGGCAGGAGATCCACAGACCCTGGGTGCCACAGACCCTGGGTGCCACAGGCTGCTTTCAGCACAGCCCAAGGGCTGACCCCTCCCTCAGGTCCCTGGGCTGTCTGGCATCTCCAGGGTGGCTTCCAAAGTGTGCAGAGCAGTCCGCGTGGCCCCAGGGTCCTGGATAGGCCTTGGTGCTCTTTCTCTCTGGGCTTCTAGGACACAGCTAGGATGCCCTATGACACTGCACACCCACCCACGGTGGGCCCTGCTGAGGCCCTGACGCGCGGGGTCCTCCAATGCCTCTGTCCCGCAGGTGCCGTTCCCCCTGGCACTTCGGATGTGGGATATTTACATCCTTGAGGGCGCACATGTACTCACCGGCATGGTGTACACCGTCCTCAAGGTCCACCGAAGTAAGTCCTCAGGGCCCACAGAGGCCTGGGTGCTGGGGATGGAGGAGTTGGGGGGGTCCCATGCTTGGCCCGGGTGAGCAGAACCTAGGGGAGGGATGAGTTTTCTGAGTTCTTGGCCAGCTTAGGGGGCATTGCGAATCCCGTTTCATCCCCAACCCCAAAAAATGGTGCCTCCCAGCCTGACACCCACCCCCACGTCTAGAGCCCTTGTTGAAGATGCCCTGGGACCACATCCAGGAGTTCCTGCATGTGCTTCTTCCCCACTGCCTGGCTCTCTTGTGTCCTGTGACTCTGAGCAGGGCTGAGCTTCCCCAGGCCCAGCAGACACAGGAAGGAGCCTGCTGTGCAGACCAGGCAGGCCCTGTCCTGCTGAGGGTGGTCCAAGCTGAGGCTGAGCCTCAGGGCCAGCAAGTGGGGGACAGGGCCAGGGTCAGGGGTTGCAGCAGGAACAAGGGTTGGAGCAGCCATGGTGGCTGCGCCATCCCTAGGGCTCCTCCTAGCCTGATGCCCACCCCCATGTCTAGAGCGCCTGCTGAAGATGTCCAGAGACCACATCCGGGAGTTCCTGCAGGTGACCCTGAAGCAGGCCTGGTCACTGAGCGAGGATGCGGTCATCAGGCAGCTGCGGGCCTCCATGCGTGAGCTGGGGAAGCTCCAGTGCCTCCTGCCTCCCGAAGGTGAGTCCAGCACACGGCCCCGTCCCATGCTCCCTTGGGGGAGTAAGCAGTGGGAGACCCAGGCCCTGGCAGCCCGCCCAGGGCCTCCCCTCTTCCTAGTCCTCCTTGTCCTCCCCGGGCTCAGCAGTTCTGAGGTGTCCCTGTCATTCCCATGGCCCAGGCTGCATGGCCCATTCCTTCTGCGGCCAGCAGGCTGGAGGTGTCCTGAGCATCACACCGAGTGATGGGGACCCCAAGGGTCAGGTCAGGGCAGGCACCCTGCAGGCCAGATAGTGGCCGTGGAGAAACAAAACCCATCTCTTCTTTTTCCAGAAAAGCCAACCGAAGATGGCAGCCCGGCCCTGCAGGTGCCGCCTGGCTCTCAGGAGCACGCTCCCCCACCAGTGTCCATCAAGACCATCGTTGAGCGCAAAGGCTGTCACCCTGCTGCTGCAGCTCCCCAGGAGCCAGCGGGGGCTTCAGTTTCTGTCCCCGGGGAGACCGGTCCTCTCGGATCTGCCGTCCAGCCCGACTCCAAGCAACACACCAAGGAGGAGAAGGGCAGTCGTGGCGAGAGCGGCACCCAGCCCCGCGGCCCGGGCTCCTCCACGGGGGCCTCAGGGTCAGGGGGCGCCGCCCACCTCTCGGGCCCACAGTGCTCCTGGCTGGACGAGCCAGGCCCCCTCCGGCGCTGGACTTCCCTGACCAAACTCAACGTGACCTTCCAAGATGACGACTCCCACTCTGACAACGAGGAGTACTACAGCGGCCTGGAGCAGCAGGAAGAGGACGAAGAGGAGGAGGAAGAGGAAGAAGACCGGCCTGCTGAGTGTCCTGCGTCTCCCTGGCCAAAGCTGTTGCGGGACCTGAGATTCGTCCTGCCCGAGACAATTTTTGAAGAGGACGAGGAGGGAGGCTGTGAAGAGGGTGCCTCCCCAGAGCCCTCGTCCCCAGCCCTGTCTGTGAAGTCCTCAGAGTCTCTACGTGGCCCGGGCCTCTTGGCCCCACAGAGCTTGCAGAGCAGGGGAGACCTGTCCCGATGGGCGGGCCTCCCAAATCTCAGTCCGCCTGTCAAAGGCGCTGATTTCTGGCCCCTGGAGCTGGGTGGCCAGCAGGGTCTCAGGGCCCCTCCCCCACCTGCCTCAGAGCCCCTGGATCCCGGGCCCATGCAGGCTGTGCCAGCCCTGGGAGCAGGGCTGAAGACACCCTCCCTGCATGGGAGCCCCATGCACTCTGGGGACACTCACGGGCTGGAGCCTGCAGGAGCCAGCCCTGTGCTGGGAGACCAGGCCCGTGTCCCCGCCCTGGCTCGAGGCCTCCTTGCTGCCCACTCCATGGAGCAGCTGGATGTGTGTGGGCACCCAGAGGGGAAGAAGAGCCCACCAGGTGTCCAGCTCAGACGGGCCAGAAGCTTAGCCTGTCTAAACACAGCGGCCACCCCGATGGATAAGGCTCCTCTCTGGAGCTCCTCTCCCCCATCCTGAAGCCTCACCCATGCTCATCTCGGCCAAGGAGGCTAGCTTCTCTATGCCCGCCGGCCTCCCTGATGGTCAAGGCTCCTCTCTGGAGCTCCTCTCTCCCTCCCTGAGCTGCCTCACCCTAGCTCAACTCGGCCAGCATCTAGCTTCTCTTTGCCCGGCATCCTCCCTGATTGACAAGGCTCCTCTCTGGAGCTCCTTTCCCACTCCCTGAGCTCACCCTAGCTCAACTCGGCCAGAATCTAGCTTCTCTATGCCCAGCGGCCTACCTGATTGACAAGGCTCCTCTCTGGAGTTCCTCTCCCCCTACCTGAGGCCTCAGCTTGGCCAGAATCTAGCTTCTCTGTGCCTGGTGGCCTCCCTGATGGTCAAGGCTCCTCTCTGGACCTCCTCTCCCCCTCCCTGAGCGGCCTCACCCTAGCTCATCTCGGCCAGCATCTAGCTTCTCTATGCCCAGCGGCCTGCCGACTGACAAGGCTCCTCTCTGGAGCTCCTCTCCCCTCCCTGAGTGGCCTCACCCGGGCTCATCTCGGCCAAGGAACCAGCCCACTGCCACAGTTGCTATGGGCACCCTCAGAGCAGGAGATGATGTAGGACACGAACCCAGGCACCTGTGGGCTGCCACATACCCCTCCCGCCTTTGTGAGGGAACCCTGGAACTTCTGCCCCTTGTTGATTCTGTATTAAATGGTTTCAGAATGCCTTTGATGTTGTGACCCCTGGAGCCGAGCTGCCACACAGGGTCCCTGAGTCCCTTGCAAGAGGCTGGGGGTGCCACAGCCTCCAGATGCAATCAGAGACCTGGCTCACGGTGCTCCATCACTTCCTGAGATTGCCCTGTGCCCAGCGTGGACCAGGGGAGGACTGGAGGAGCAGCAGTGGCTGGGTACATGTGGCCTTTGGGACAGTTCAGGAGTGTGGGCCCAGCCAAGGGACCAGGCCCATGATCGCCTCTGTGCACTGTCCTGGGTGTGTGGGCACCAGGTTCCCACTCTTCTTCCCTCTTTGCCTTCCATCCTCCCTGCCCCATCTCACAATCCAGCATCTCATGGCCTGAGCCCGCGAGAGGACCCCAGGGCACTTCTGACCACAGACCAGGATGCCAGTGGGTGGAGGCAGCCCCAGAATGTCCAGGCGGTCCTGGTGGCACACCTGGCTGGCCAGATGCCCACATGCCCTCTGGCAGCTCAGGCCTCCTGGGCTGCTGTCACAGTGGGTTCAGCTTCTCCAGGTCATGCTGTCACTAGGGGTCATTAGCATGGAGAATGTGACCCTGATGTTGGGAGAAGAGACTCCTGGCTCAGAGGATCCTGGCCTGGAGGCTCCACAGGGAAGGAGTCTGGAACCCTGCCTTGGGCAGAAAGAGCACCCCAGTTCTCCAAGGGTCCCTGACACTTGTAGCCTCTTCCTCAATCCACACAACCTCCAAAAGGAGACTAGGCCCTGTTCATCAGAAGCCACCTGGGTCATCCCAATGGGGCAGGTTAGGCCATAGCCATTTTCCCCTGGGTCTGGAAGGCCCAGGATTCTCTAGCTGTTGAGTCTGGTTTGGAGTTGACCACTCTGTACTCCGTTCTTGAATGAGCCATGGCTGTGTCAGTGGCAGGACCCCAAGGGCTCAGAATTGCTGGTCCCCACAGGGTGCTTTTTGCAGAATCACGCTGAGGCCAGAAGCTGACGAGATAGAGGGTGACAAGTGGCTACTGTGCTGATGACTCATGTCTCCAGGCTGGAGAGCCACAGCCATGAGCCAGTCCTGAGCCTGCTCCTGTTCTCCAGTGCTCAGGGCTGGTCCTCTTGTTCCTGGGAACCATAAGGCCATATTTTGGACTCTTCACCTGCTTCTTCTGCTCCTTATCTGGGGGAAGATGTGAGCCCGATGATGAGCTTGCAGGCAAGGTTGCTACAGGGCAGGCAAAGTGATGGGAAGGCCCCTGTCCAGGTCAAGCCTGTGCTGTGCTCCCTGCTCTGCCCTGGCTTCCTGGGTGGACCGCAGTGTACTCAGAGATGTGCAGGCAGTCCACCTGTCCAGGCGCAAGCCCTAAACACTGTTACTAATGGGAACGCACACCTAGAGACTTTCCTGGTGCCTATGGCCTCGAACCATCCTCCCCTGGCCAGCCATGTGCAGGGTGACCTGCAGGCATCCGTCTCCATTGAAAGCCACCTGCCTTTGGTGACAGTCCTTTGCCCTCTCCTGGAATGGAGATTTCACAAACCTGGTGCTCTTTCTTAAGAAGACTTCTTCCATTGTATCAGTTTGCTTTCTTGTCAAAGATCTGATAACTGTATTCGTGAAGGTCTCTTCCGGGGTTACCATTCTGACTCTCACCAGTCCCACATTGCCATGATTGGCTGTCTCATAAGTTAGGGCAGCTGTGACACATCCGTCCTCCAGTGTGTTCATCTTCAATTATGGGCGGTGGGATCTTCGGGGTATCTTCATCCCCACATACATTTTAAAATCAGTTTGGTAATTGGAAAACATCTTGATAGGATGTTTTTTTAAAGATTTATTTCAAAGAGTTACACATAGAATGAGAGGCAGAGAGAGAGAGAGAGACAGAGAGAGAGAGAGAGAGAGAGACAGAGAGAGAGAGAGAGAGAGAGGTCTTCCATCTGCTGGTTCACTCCCCAATTGCCCACAACAGCTGGAACTGTGCTGATCCGAAGCCAGGAGCCCCGAACTTCATCCGATTCCCCATACGGATGACAGGGGCCCAAGCACTTGGGCCATCTTCTACTGCTTTCCCACGCCATAGTAGAGAGCTAGATTGGAAGAGGAGCAGCTGAGACTCGAAGCAGCGCCTATATGGAATGCCAGCACCCGCTACCTACACCACAGCGCTGGCCCCATTGATAGGATTTTGATTAAGACTGTGTAGGTCTATCAAGTGAAGAAATACAGATATCTGGGCTAGAGTGAGTCTTCCAATCCATGACCACAGAATGTGTCTCCAAATGTTTAATTCTTCCTTGAGACTTTTTTAGGAGCTTTGTGGTGATCCTCATAGAGATTTTGCATGTTTTGTTGCAAGTATACCTAGATGTTTCTTTTGTTTTGCTACAGAACCTTTTTTTTATTTCCATGCATAGTTTTCTCATTAGATTCATTTTCCAAGAGCCCTCATATGTCAGTGTAGTTCTTTTCTTACGTGCTACTCTACACATCTCAGTCCTGACTTGGTCCTGCTCATGCACTTGCTCATCTTTTTCTCGACACACACACACACACACACACACACCCTCTTTCCTTCCTCTAGATTCACCATGGTGCCTCCCTGCATCGTAAGTAAAACAAAAGAAAATAACCACAAAAGTCAAAAACACACCCTCCTGTCTCCTGAGCAGACTAATACATCTGTTTCAATACACACGATGCCAAGCAAGATTACAGAAGTTTTCCAGGTGTGCTGAAGAATATTCGAATCTTCTGTCTCCGACAGATGCTGAAGAAGCAAGAAGTGGGGTAATGTTTTTAAGAGAAGGAGAGAGACTGAGAGACCTTCCATCCACTGGTTCACTCCCCCGGTGGCTGCAATGGCCAGGGCTGGGCCAATCCGAAGCCAAGAGCCTGGAGCTTGTTCTAGTCTCCCATGTGGGCGCAGGGGCCCAGGGACTTGGGCCTTCTGCTGCTGCCTTCCCAGGTGCATTAGTAGGGAGCTGGATCAGAAGTGGAGCAGCTGGTATACAAACCGGCTCCCACATGGGATGCTGGCACCACAGGTTGCAGCTTAACCCTGTGCACCACAGTTCCAGCCTGGGTAATTCGTTGTTTTAAGCTATGACCACCAAAGGAGACTGCTGGACAATCCCACTTAGATGAATAGGAAATAGGAAATGTTCACCAAGTGTCCCTAGTGGCTACCACACTAGGTGTTCGTGACCCTGGGAAACTGAATGTTACCTGCCTGGGTTTATAAAATGGGATGATACACAGATTAATTGTAGGACCTTTATGAGAGTGAAATGGAAAAAGGCACCCATCCCCCCTTATTTTTTTAAGATGTATCTATATTTGAGAAGCAGAGTTACAAAGAGGCAGAGGCAGAGAGAGAGAGAGAGAGAGAGAGAGAGAGAGAGAGGTCTTCCATCTGCTGATTCACTCCCCAGATGGCTTCAATGGCCAGAGCTGTGCCAATCCAAAGCCAGGATCCAGGAGCAGCTTCCTGGTCTCCCACATGGGTACAGGGGCCCAAGGACTTGGGCCATCTTTCTACTGCTTTCCCAGGCCCTAGCAGAGAGCTGGATCAGAAATGAAGCATCCAGGACTCGAACTGGTACCTATATGGGATGCCCGCACTGCAGGCAGCACTGGCCCCAGCACCCATCCCGTGTACAGGTAGTGCTAGATGTCATGATTTTTGTTTCTGAGCTTAAAAGAATGCTGAGTTTACAGTTACAGGAAAAACAGAATCAACATGTTTCACAATTTACATTGCAGATCTGCTGCTCTTCTGACAATGTGCTAATATTTCCGAGTGCAGGAATGTTGGCCCCTCTGGGTTTGTATGGGCATTCGCTTGAGGTGGTGAGGAGGGTTTTCCATTTCCCTAAGACAGCACAAGTGAGCCATGGGCCGCGTTCAACCTAATGCGTCGAGCAATCTATCCTGTGGTTTTACTCTTATAAAATGAAATGTGAATGCTTGAAAGATCATTTACATGTGGCCTACTAGTTATTTAAGAAAACCTCCACTTTGACTATGCCCCTGTCGGAATAACATCGAAGTCGGCGCACTCAAAAGGCTTCCATAGCCTTGGCAACTCATGACTAGAGCCTAGGGAGATTACTGACGCCATAAACAAGAGTGTCAAATTGTTAAGTCAACAACAGGGGTCACTGTGTACTTACTTCTCATGTGGGATCTGTCCTTAATGTGTTGTCCAATGTGAAGTAATGCTACAACTAGTACTGAAACAGTACTTTACACTTTGTGTTTCTGTGTGGGTGCAAACTGATGAAATCTTTACTTAATATATACTAAATCGATTTTCTGTATATTAAGATCATTGAAAATGAATCTTGATGTGAATGGAATGGGAGAGGGAGTGGGAGATGGGAGGGGTGCGAGTGGGAGAGAAATTATGGGGCGGGGAGCCATTGTAATCCATAAACTGTGCTTTGGAAATTCATATTTACTAAATAAATAAAAAAAAGCAAACAGCCATTAAACATGTTGAGTTAATTAACAGTGTGCACACGATTAACAATGCCTTTTCAACACTAGACATTAATGGAGTACATGCCAAATAAATGTAATCCTGCACTTGAGTTAGAATTTCTTTGTTAATTATATTCATTTATTTACAAATTTAAAATAATCATCACATTCGTTTGAATAAAACGAGGGATTTTAAAAGCGGAAATAACCAAGGGGGTCTCGGCTCTAGGGACAGACTGTAATAGATTAACCTTATTTTCCATCCCCAACAGAGGCTAGAGTAATTACGGACAAGAAATGACCCGCTACACTCAGGGCTGTCCACAACGGACTCATCCAACCCTTCCGTAAGCATAACTTGTTTTCAGGCTAACTCGCCTGCTAGCATCCAACAGAATGGAATCGTTCTGCAGCTGTGACTCATGTGCCCTTCCCTGGATCCGAGTCCTGCGTTGATCCCACGACACAACACACACTCTAAATGAGACACATGGACACGTCACGTGAACCCTCTCCGGGCAGCCCTAGGCTATCTGGTCTCAGGTCACAGACTTAA